TTTTTACTTTAATTTCTCCTCTACCAGCCTAAACATCACCATTAGTTTGTCTAAAGTCTCTCCCTTCAGGAAACAGCTCTATTTCTAGCATGTTGCTCTCACTTTCCCTGAATACTAAGAAAAAAAAATCTACTTCATAGCTGTATATGATCCAAAACCCTTTGTCATGGACCAGCCATCTTTCCTTATTGGTCTCTTGTTCTTTATATATTTGTTTTTCTGTTTTCATGATTCAATTTTTATGTTTTTTTTCCTTATATTTTTTAGATTTTCTTGTGAACAAGATATTTCCTCTTATTTCTTCTTTTGTCTTTTATTCTTTGAAGTTTATTCTTACTGTGTTTCTGTTTATGTAGTGATACCCATTTAATAGGTGGCTTATAAGAAGTCCTAATTTCTTTACAGCATTCATTTACTTTAAATTAAATATGTGTATATTTCTAGAAAGTTAGTGCAATTTTTTATAGCTCTGTCACAGTACAATGTCTAGCCTGATTTGCTGTCTTCTGATGACAGTATCTTTCATATTAGCTCTATTCCATTTCTCACTTCGTCGAATAATTGTATTTAGGTTACTTTGCTACATGTGATTTAATGATCTAATCTGATGTCTTTTTTTCCCCTGAACTGTTATTTTGTTTACCTGCTAATGTGTAAAGGAATGGCAGGGTTGGCTTTTTTGTTTGTTGGTTTTTTTTACTTTATCTGTTTCGTGTGATACAGCACGCAAATTAAACTCTTAGCAACATTATTAGAAATTTCAACTGAAAAGAGAACTGGCAGTCCTGTCCTTTAGAAGGCCTAGAGCAAAATAACAAGAGGAAAAAATATAGGTCGTATGATTAGAATATTTTTGGAGCAGTGCTATGGTAGAAATCTTGGTTTTGCCTGAATTGACCCATGCTTGGCTATGTCTCTAGCTGTATGTCTTTGCCATTTTATAAGGGCTGAATTCTTATTGTCTAATTAAGTGGTAAAACTTCTGAGAAATCAAGGTTCACCAGCACCACAGAATACATAGTAGGAGTTTCCACATTGACCTAGTTCTCATTCTCAAAAGGTCTGGCTACCACAGTCACTTCATTGCATTTCCTTCATTAGTGTATTTTTTTAAGAAGGAGCCAGTCTCCTTTATTATGAATTTATTTAATATACTCCAAGTACCACTTCATTGACTTATGCAGCCTCTCCTCATTTCAGGCTCTGTGGCCACACTGCTGCTCTTGCTGATTTTTATGGAACTACAGCAGATTCAGCTGTGGTAGGATATTTCTCCTAGCTGAAGCACAAAACCATTTATAAAAGCATAGAGAGTGAATTGCATTAAAATGTCTGAGCAGGTTTTCACTGTAGAAGTGACCAAAATGACTTGCTGGGAGTGGAAACAAGCACAAGTATGCTTAAAACTGTGTTAACTAGTCGTGGTTGATTTTTGCTGTTGATTAACCTCAACAGACTAATATGTTTTCTATTTTTGATGTGGTAGGTTTAAACTGAATTCTGAATTATCTTTAACCCATCTGTAATAACGTATTTCTTCCACTTTAAACCTGATTTGGGTATACAGTTTCTGGTATACTTTGATTGGAAAATTTCCTTCTTCTGCCATCATATCAACCGCTTATTGAGGACACTTCATATGCAAAACATGTAATATATATGGAATGGAACATGGTTTGAGTTTACTAAGTAGTATGCCTAAACTTTTTTTCTCCTTTTAAGAAATATATCCTTCTTTGAAGTATTAGTTCTCTATGCTTCTTACTGGTTTTCATAGACTTCTTTTTCTATTAATTTAATAGCATCTTTTTGGAGAACTTAAAATAAACCAGACTGAAATTGCCCTTGATATAAAAAGACACAAATCCTAATTAAGTCCAAGGAAGTTAAGTCATCCAAAGATTGAATTTAGCCTCTCTGTTTTATTGGGTCACTGGCACGTAGTGCTTTGTTTTATATTTGCAACAGCCAAGTCCTGGTTTTGGAGAGGTAAAGCTGCATGATGAGCTGTTACTAAGCATATGTTGTTTCAACAGTGTGTATTTCAGAAATTTCCATGCAATATAGAATTTTTATATGAAGATCAGTTAGTGCACATCATGAATTTTTTTGGTTTTCAGCGATAATTTTTTTGAAAAATCCTGATTCTTGCTCTTTCTCACAATATTTATGAGGAAATTTGGATGCTAGGAGGGATTTGTCAAACCATCTGGCATCCTCTGAAGTAAGATACCCTGGTCTTGGAGGAGAAGCAAATGAGTAATGTAAGAGCAACTAATTAGCAGAGCACTTTCATTCTACTTGTCTAACAACATATAGTAACCTGTAGTTTATGAAAGAATTGGAGGTTACCTTTTAGAAATACCATTTTCCATGAACTGTAGAGGGAGAATTTATTTCAGTGTGGAGAATACTTCCTACGAAACTGGAAAAACACCCACTTCATTCTTACGTTAGGGAAGTTGATTGTAATGCTAAAAGTGTAATCAAAGAAAACCTTTGCTTTGATCTGAATGCTGTAAAATGAGTAGTAATATGAAGATGGTTTTCTTCAAAAGTTGCATTAATCTTCTGCAGTCATGTTTTTCTTTTATCAGACAAGGTTTTGAGGGTAACAGTGGCTGTTTGCTTCAGTGCTAATAACAGATAGGCAAATGTTTATCAGTTTCCTCCCTTTCGGAATGTCGGATGCTTTGCTGAATCTGTCCATCTTTAGCAAGGCTGACTTTCCTAGCAATAAAACTAATCTTCATATGGGACTTACATAATTATCACATTGTCATCTCTATTGAAAGGTAGCCAATAATTGCTTTGTATCGATCGTTCCTTTTTTCCAAGTTTCTCACTGAGGCTTAGCAGAGTCTGGTGAGAAAAGACAGTGTGCCCCTTATGAAGCTTTGCATGAAGCCTTGTGCTTGTAAAGCACTTCAGTCTCAAAGGCATTGTCTGGGAAATAACATGCGCTTCATCTGAGCCATGAGCTCTGTGTATGTGGGAGAAAGGGGGAGAATGGAAAAAGATCTGAGAAAGGGATGTGAAATACAAAATCTTTGGAGCTTTTCTGGAACCTGCCAACTTAGAGGAGATGTTTTACTTTAAAGCCTTGTAAATTCTCAAAGTGCACCTGTGCTGAGTTTCACACTACTGATTCTGTTGACTAAAATAATCTTCTTTTAATGAGTTGTCATGAAATAATAATCTAGTATAGCAAGCAGTGGTGATGGTAGGTGGAGTAACGAAACAAATCAGGCCTTGGGGAGAAGATGGGTGTCATCAAATTTTTTAATCTGATTACCAGTTACTTTGAAGATTTTAGCTGATGAAGTCTGAGCAAATGCCTACCATAAGGTCAGCAAGGTTTTTCACACAATCTCTCATGATGTCCTCATAGGCAAATTCAGGATGGACTGGATGAGTGGACAGTGAGGTGGATTAAGAACTGGCTGATCAGCAGATCCCAGAGAATTATTATCAGTGACACAGGGTCTAGTTACAGGCCTGTCACTAGTGGTGTCCCCCAAGGTTCAATACTGGGCCCAGTATTGTTTAACTTCTCCATCAATGACTTGGATGAAGAGGCAGATGCCTTCTCAGCAAATTTTCTGATGACACAAAGCTGGAAGAAGTGGCCAATACCCCAAAGGGCTGTGCAGCCCTTCAGAAGGACCTTGACAGGTAGGAGAAATGGGCAGAGAACTGTCTGAAATTCAGCAAAGGCAAATGCAGGGTCCTGCACCTGAGGAAGAATAACCCCATGCACCAATACAGGCTGGGGGCTGACCTACTGGAAAGCAGCTCTGTGAAGAAGGACCTGGGGGTCCTGGTGGACAACAACCTGTCCATGAGCCAGCAGTGGCCTTGGTGGCCAACGGTATCCTGGGATGCACTAGGAAGAGCCTTACCAGCAGGTCGAGAGAGGTCCTGCCCTTCTACTCGGCCCTGGTGAGGCCACATCTAGAGTGTTGTGTCCAGTTCTGGGTTCCTCAGGACAAGAGAGACATGGAGCTCCTGGAGCAGGTCCAGCAGAGGGCAACAAAGATGATAAGAGGACTGCAACATCTCTCTTATGAGGAAAGGCTGAGGGAGCTGGACCTGTTCAGTCTGGAGAAGAGACCACTGAGAAGGGAACTCATCAATGTCTATAAATATCTGAAGGGAGGATCTGAAAAGGATGGAGCCAGGCTTACAGAGTGGGTAGGAGTAATGACACATTTGGCAGCAACCTACTTTGCTTGCTTAGTACTTTCAACTTGTTTAAAAATGGTCATTTTAATATAGCAAAACTACAGGTAACATACAAAATTAATGGTTGTACTTCACAGAGCAGCAGTTACCTAAACAACTTTGCTATTGAAGATAAGCTGAATATAACTTGCCACACCAAGGCTAGGAGATGTAACAGTACTTGAGTTTATGTGCCCTTTGATGTTAGATAGGAAAAAATGAGAGGTATATTACTTGCTTTTAACATTTGTGATGTTGTTACTGTAACTGTGTACCAATATGAAGCCCAAATATTGTTACAGGCTGATGACGAATTAAAAGGCATTCAGAGGGGTTTCAGTAATGCTTAGAAAATGTGCCTTACATCTAGGAACTGGTTAGCCAAGATAACTTTTAGGCTTGTGCTTAAGATCAACAGGTATCTTTATAAGGCAAGTGAGTAATGGGATCCAGATGCCCATGTACACAGTAAAATTAAGAAGGAATTGGGTATGGGAAGAACAGCTGTTGTTGTGACCTGTTCCCTTCTAATCAGCCATTACTAGAGGGTCCATGCCAGGCCAGCTCTGCTACCTAGATTTACAAATATTTTTATTGTCTCATGAGGCTGTTGTGCTTGCCTATTGGTAAGACAGAGTTAGCTTGGCTAATCATAGCTAAAAGAAAAAATTATTTTCTATCTTGATACTAAAATAATTTTATTTTAGAATCTTATTATTCTAAATAATTTCCTTTTCTTTTTTTTTCTTTTTTTTTTTTAATTTTTATTTGTATAGGGCACCAATGCCTCTGCTCTGGAAAAAGACATTGGCCCAGAGCAGTTTCCAATCAATGAACACTACTTCGGACTGGTTAATGTAAGTACTGTTTTCAGTAGGTAAACCATATACAGAACTATGGCTCTGATGTTACTTGAACTTTGCTTTGTTTGGTTTGGTTTGGTTTGGTTTCCTCTCTCCCTGACTCTTATCAATCTTATTCTAAGGTAGGATTGTCTTTTTTTTGAAAAAAAAAAAAAAAAAAAGCTGCCCAGGTTCCAATTTTAGGCAAATTAGGTTGCAGAACTGTTTCAGATGTTTGAAGACAAATTCATACACTCCCGGAGAGAACAGTTTACTGTTCTGTGAATGTTTCCAGAGATTAGAACTTACACTTCAATACAGTTAAAAGTCTATTTTAGCTGTGAAATGGCAGGGAGGAAGTGATGGAAGTATGTACAAGCTTAGGTACAGCATTCTGCATTGGGGACTCTTAGGAGGAGCTTTTTTATGTGACCAAGGAGAGAATGAGTGAGAAGGGTGTTTAATCACTTGTTTATTCCCACATAAATAATACAGATATAGTAATTCTTTCCATTGAAACATTAGTCATTCTACTACTGAGCAGTAAGATAGAGCCTAGGAAGAGTATGTTATTATATTAAAACAAACTTAACAAGATCCACTACAATAAACATATCTCTTGCAGGTGGAAACCTTTACTTTGTATCCTAGTTAATTTAGAACACCCTGGTTTTTTCTGTGAAGTGTCAGGGGTGGGTGTGGAAATATATTTCTGCAGCAACTGCATGGAAAAGTGGCTGGTTTGTGACAGGGACACAGAAGTTAAATGAAGCAAATAATTTTATTGTGACACACAGGGATTAAGCTTGTTTTTAATTTTACTTGGCAGTTTGGGAACACCTGCTACTGTAACTCCGTGCTGCAGGCATTATATTTTTGCCGGCCATTTCGGGAAAATGTATTATCGTACAAGGCCCAACAGAAAAAGAAAGAAAATCTCTTGACTTGTCTGGCAGATCTTTTCCACAGTATTGCTACTCAGAAGAAAAAAGTTGGAGTTATTCCACCAAAAAAGTTCATATCAAGGTTACGAAAAGAGAACGGTAAGTGTAAAACTGGAATCCTCTAAGACATTCAGGCATTGATCAGAAATGTATAAATAAATATTGGGCAATGGGATCATAGTAATCAGATGTGCAAGTTAGATTTGTAAATTGCTTTTAGTACTTTGTGGGGTTTCGATATTAATATTTTAGTATCTGTGTAGACAATATTATGCTTGAAATAACCATACCAGGTTTCATATGTTCCCAGAAGTGTATGAATTAATAATTTTCACAGCATGGTGGGACAGACTGTACTGTACAGTGAACCGGGATTGGGAACAGGGTGACACTCTGCTCTAATTTTTAAATTCTTCTTTTTGTGGCAGATAGAAACATTGAGGGCAGTTGGCAGTATAGAAACTGTGTGGCCTAGGAGTGCTACAAGCACCGCTACTCCAGAACACTTTGGAGGATAAGTAACTGGATGTGTGGGGGGTGTTCCATCAACTGCACATCAACTGCTGCTCTTGTTCTTAGGAGTGGTGGACACAGTCTTACTCTGTGAAGCATCAGACACCTTTTGAGCATTAGGCTGGCAACAGCATATGCCTAATCTTGTAGTAGTTCTTTCTATGGGATATGAGGAGCATCTTAAGACAGAGAAGCCTGCCACACAGCTCCATTTTGGCCTAGATTCATATCAATGTGGGTGGTATGCTTAGAAACAGAGGAGCTTTGAATGAAGAGACAAAGTACGAGTCAAACACCTGGAAGAAATTGCTTCCTGGTGACAGCATATAAATGGGCAGACTGTTCATTTCAAAGCAGATTTTTGAAATTGTGACAAAGTTAACTCTCAGTCATCTAGTGATAAATGCCCCCACACTGTTCAGGATCACTTTTAGAGACTGGATCTTATGTTTTCAGCTTTTTTAAATTAGGGCCAGACTCAGTGTGTATTAACCCGTTTATGTGTCCAGGCTAGACACTACAAAGCTGAAGGTCCTGTACAATATTTTCTGAGGAAATCCATGTGAGCTTTTTCAGGAGCAGGGGAATAAAAATACACAGTTCTGGGAACACAGACTCTTTTTTTCTTTGACATGGTGGCCAAGTTAAGCCTTCACTGGAGAAGCCTGTACTAAGTCACCAGTGGGATATTTCCTTCTTCTGTGAGCATTTATTGAAGAGGACAAGTCTCTGCTCATCAGACTTCTGTGTAAAAAATGAGCTTTCTTAGATGGTGTTATTATTATTACTACTTGAGGCGCGTTAACCTTGACTGACTGCCAGGTGCCCACCAAGCCTCTCTCTCACTCACCACTAAGCAGGGCAGGGGGAGAAAATAATATTAAAAAAACCTGTGAATTGAGATAAAGGCAGTTTAATTTAAAAAAAAAAAAAAGGCAAAAATTGCATGTGGAAGGAACGCAAAGCCAAAGGAGATTTGTTCTGTACCTCCCGTCAGCAGACGATTCCCAGCCCCTCCATGGGAGGAAGCAAATTTTCTTTCTTGAAGAAAAAGATATATTATGCTGTACAAATCTTGATTCTCTTCTTCACAGATCTCTTTGACAACTACATGCAGCAGGATGCACATGAGTTTTTAAACTACCTGCTCAACACCATTGCAGACATTTTGCAGGAGGAGAAAAAGCAGGAAAAGCAAAATGGGAAACTGAAAAATGGCAACATGAATGAAGCTGAAGAAAACAATAAACAAGAACTCACCTGGGTGCATGAGATTTTTCAGGGAACACTGACTAACGAAACTAGATGTTTGAACTGTGAAACCGTAAGCATTGGGATAGATTTTTTTTGTTGTTGTTGTTGTTCATTAGTAGATAGATACATTTTATATACATATAAATATATGAATCTTTTCAGACATCTGAGAGTTGTGGATATTCCTGTAGAATTTACTTCTTGAAGTGAGTATATTCTTTTCTAAAAATTTATTTTTCTAAGCATTACTTGGCTAACATATGTCAGGTTTTGCTGTCGTAATACATATCTCTACAGTTAAAATTCTTGCTAGTGAATCAATACCCTTCCTTATTACTGTAACTTTGAGGGAAGATACTAACACCATATTCAATGAATAAGTGAAACGTCAAGAAGAATTTGTGTGAATTCAATCTTAAAATGCGACTAGTATACAGACAGTTCATTATTAACAAACTATATGTTTTCTTTTATCTCCCTAATATTTTCTAGAAGTTGATGTCAGTTTGGAATCTCTTATGTTTGAAGTATAACTAAAAATTAGTATTAGTTAGGGGACCTGATTGCAAATCTGTTATTGGTACAGCAATGCTGTGAACTGGGCCAACAAACTGTTCTGGCCTAAGAACTCTGTGGTTTTACTCAGATCAGTACTGCTTCTGTGGGCTTACTCTAAAGAAAACACAGCTTTAGATTAGCTGTGTTAAGATGGGAGAAGGTGCTCAGAAAAGGTATCTTCAGACAGCAAGCTGAGGTTAAGTATCTTTAGACAGCTGAAGTTAGGTGAGATAAACTGTACCCAGGTCCTACCAGATGTGTAAAAGAACATATCCTGATATTTCTAATCATAAAGGGTAGCTTTGTATTCCAAAAAAATTTGACTTTTCCAGGGGCTTGAGTCAGAGGGGGGGAGTGGGGAGAAAAGAGGCAGTGATAGTCAATGTGAAAAAAGGTGCTGAAAGAAGTTTGGAACAAGCCTGTTCAAGTAAAAACATGAGAGATATATTGAAAATTAATTATTTAATCTATTTCAATTTTAAAAATCCAGGTAATAAAAGCCAGTAAAAGTAAATAAAAGAGTAGAATTCTTTTTTAACTAACAAGTTTCTTTAAATGGCTGTGGCCTAATTGTAAATCAATATCTAGTGTTTACTCAGACAAACTGTAGAGAAGTGGGGATGTGTCCTTAGGTAACAGCAAAACTGCACAATTCCCTACTTGTGATTCAAAGTGACCAAGGTTTATGCAAAATATAATGCTAGGTATTGCTGCTGCAGGAAAGCTTGTCCGTAGCTTTCTCTGAATGCAGAAATACTGTATACTACTTAGGATACTTTTCCGGTTTATTTTTCTTGGATTATTGAAATCTTTTGGAAATAGTAAAACAGATTAAAAGATGTTTATTTGCTAAAATATTCACAAGTAATCCATGAAGGATCCTTCAGATTCCAGCAGATTCTTATTGTCGCTTACAAAGAATGCAGTTTGAATCTTGTTTTCCAGCTACCTTTAATTTTAGTCTGTATTATCCTAGTTCTAATTCACTCATCTTTCCTTTCAGTAAATATTTGATATGCTGAAATCAATAACAAAATTCCTAGGTTCTTTGACCTATTCAGATGAAACACTATACTTGCCAAAGACTTTTTCAAGTATTTAACCTCTTTCATGATACGCAGTGTGTTTGACAGAACTCTAGTTCCAGCTGCAGAGATACAATATTCTCTGAATCTTTGTTGCTTTATCTTTCAAATTTTAGCTGTATATTTATACTGCAGTTGACTGCTGCCAATTTTGTGGCTTCCTGTCCCCTGTGGGTCAAGTCATGTCTCAAGGAGGATTTGCTGTTCATTTCAATTGGGTGTGCGTTCTGCCTCTACACATGTTTGATAATAACAAAATTCATCCTGCTAAAGGTGTTCCTCTGGATTCGGGTCTGATATGGGCTGCATTCACCAAGCTTAGAGGATCTCTGATATAACACAAATAGGAGCTGAACGTAGTACATCCATAGAATTGCAAAAACTTTGACATCCATAGAATTGCAAAAATCTGAGCATGAGGGACTTCTGCCAGAATGATGAATTCAACCCCTCACGGAAGTTCTTGATTTGAACTTCACTGTCACACCATCTGATTTAGTTATTCTAAGGAAATGCAGCCATAGGAGGCAAAATATGGAGTGTTCATGCAACATTTTATAAACAAAATTGATTGTTATGAATATGAATGAATTCATGTGCAGTAAGTAACTCTGCAGCCTTTTGACTCAGTTAAGTATTACAAGGATTATCCATTTGCATGACTTTTTTGTTAATGTTACTTCACCTTCAAGATTAAACACTCTTAGTAAAAAATAATTTTCAAAGCAAATATCAATATGTCATTCTAAAAATACTTGGGCCTATTTTTTTTAAATAAAAATTCATTATACTTTTTCTTCTCTTGTTCCGTCTAAAAATAAAGATTGGCAATATCAAAATGATTTCGCAAATTATTATCACTTCATCAATTTTACCTTTGATCTTCAATATTTTTAGTCAAAATTATTGTCCAGAAACAATGTTCAATGGGGAAATGCAGCTGTGTCAACTAGAAATATAAACCCAGCCTTTTGAATGCTCACTGGAGAGAAAAAATAACGCAGTTAAATATGACATTTTTTGACAGATGCATATTTGGAAAATATCTTCACTACATCCTTTATAGTGGAAAAAATTAGGTAGGAATAAACTGTGATTATATAGTGTAATATAATATACAAAGGGTCAACAAAATTCCAATAAAATAAGAAAGTAGACTGTGTTACATAAAAAAGGAACATATGTAATGCACCAATCACAGCTAATACAGGGGATGATGATCAACCATCATTTAGTGAACAATAGGCTGTCGTCACTGGTCCATGGTTAGTGGGATTGGATAAGTGGAACAGAGAGAAGTTAAATTATATGAAAACAGGATTGGTAGAATTACTAATAAATATAGTCAAAAGGAACTGAAAAAAAAATAAAAGCATTGAAATTAATAATTTTTGTGTAATTTATTTTCGTAGAAATTGCTCTATCCTTTAGCATTTTCAAAGATATAAACAGCATTTAAATGTATGGCATCTCTGTTTTACATGTATATTTTTTGCAACAGGTTAGTAGCAAAGATGAAGATTTTCTTGACCTTTCTGTTGATGTGGAGCAGAACACATCGATTACACACTGTCTAAGGTAAATGAATGGATCTTTTTGGCAAGTAGTTCTGTCTAGCTGCTAAAATTTCCAAGTGTAATTGGTAGAGAAAATTAGAATAACATTTGGGTTCAAACTTTTCTTAAACAGAAGAAAAAGACTTTAAACTGGATGTTTCTTCTAATGACAAAATATACATTAATATACTTTGTTTTACTCAATTTCAATATGTGTGTTTGAAAGAGAAAAAAATAATCTCTTGGGAAAAATAGATGATTTCCTTGTCATCTAGAAGAATTGCTGCAGAATAATATTGTCTAGAAAGAGTTTTAAATGTGCTTATCTTTAAGGTTCTACTCAAGTGCTTTGTTGATTAGAATTTATGTGTATATTAAAAGTTAAATGTGTGCTTTGCAGAATGAGTGTTAGAGTACATAGAGGGCAAAATATTTCAAAACTCTAGTTTTCTATTATAAGCTTATTATTCTGTGTCTCATCCTAAAAATATGTGAAGAAATATTTTATTCTAAAATTTCAGTTCTGCTCCTAGTACAGTCCAATAAAAAGTATTTTAGAGATCAAAATAATTTTCAGACATGCATGGATGACTATTCTGAGGGATTTAAAATATTCAGGATTTTGGCATTGATAGAATAAACCATCACCTATATTTAAGACAATATGTTGCTGCTCTAAGGTAATGATTATCAACCTCTTTCAAACTCCAAAGTAGCAACCAAGGTTGAAATTGCATTTATCAGTTATTCTGGAATGCCTAGGAAGGATTGCTGGGCATCTCATCCCAAGCTGAGAGTTACAGAAAGAGAAATCATGTGAGGTATTAACCATTTCCTGAGTCAGAGAGCAGTGATTTCTCTGTGGATATTGCAACTGTAGTAAGTAACTTCTGTTACATTTTAAAATGCTAAGTCCAGTCAGTTTTTACATTCTCAGTTTCTGTTCTGTCTCATTTGGCCTCTGTAGCCCTCAAGACAACAGCCCTCAAGTAATCCAAACTGCACTAACTAGCCGCATTGTAAAAAGTGAGAAAACTGAAGAGTGGCTTTGGAAAGCAGTGTATTATTTTCTCTTTTCCTCCTGTAGTCTCTTTGTCTGTTCATAGTCACCAACAGTAGAATTAGTATTGTACTACAGGCTTTTGGTTGAACACTTTGGTTCCTCATTGTAGTCCCTGCTTTGAACTTGTCAGCATTACTTACCTTTCCCTGTGGTGTTCCAAGTCGATTTGAAATTACACTGATGCAAGGAGGCTGAAGGGTGCATCTTCTGAAGTCCTTTCTATCCTGAGTTGTTATTTGATTCTATGTTATACAGTTACTGGAGACTGAGCTCTGACTTTTTCTTACAGTTGAGTCTGTTGAACTTGTTAGAAATTGCTGCTGTACATAAGTTATCATCTATCCTTCAACTTTCTCCAGTTTTTTATTTTATTTCTTGGTTGTTAAGCTTCTTGGAAATGTTTTGTTTGGAAAGACCATTTTATGTAAAGGCAGAATACTTCAGTAAAGTAGCAATAGCATTTCTACTACTGAACAGACAGTGGCTGTAGCTTAAGATGAGGAAGAACTGCATCTGCACTACTGCAACCCACAGGTGAAGGGTGGAGTTGAAAGTGACCCCAAGAGGTTAGCCCCTATCTCCACATCAGACAGGATGCTTACCCAACCTGTTCTAGATCTTTTTAGCAGTAGTAACGTGATTGCCTACCCGAGTCCTTCCTGACCTTACTACTAAGAAGTTTTTTCTGCTGTGTAAAATGAAACTTCCCTGTTTTAGTTCAATCCTATTTTCACTTGTTCTCTGTAATCTGGAAATAAACCAGGACTAACCCCCCTTCCTCTTAGCAGTAGCCTTTTACATGCAGGAAGAATGCAATTACTTTCTTTTAAATTTAAACTATCTAAGGTCATTTAACTTTTCCTTCTCAGGCTATCTTCTCTAGATCTCTGCTCATGTTCATTACTCTTTGGCATTCTCTTCAGCTGAACCTCTCTCTTGAGCTCCATCTTTCTTGAAGTGCAGCTACCTAAAACTAGGCATAGTATTCCAGCATAAATCTGCACAATCCTGAGAAGAACGGATGCCCTGAAAGTTTATTTATGCATCCCTGTATAGTATCTACCTTTGCTCCAACAGCATGACATGCATTTTGAAGTTTACCCATTGTTGCCTTTGGAAATAAAGCAAAGCAAAATCTTGGTTTTTCTTTTCTTCTGGTGGGAGATACAAGCTGCTATTTACAGATTGAACGGGAGGAGAGTCATCACCTATGATGTATTCTGATTGTGTTTTACACTAGCAGCATTTCTACCTCTGCTTAGAAAACATATATTCAGTTAGAACATGGATTTCCTCTCGTTGTTGTCTGGTACTATGCATTATTAAACAAAATATAAGTGCTTTTGTCATTCCTTTCAATAGGAACATCCAAGTTATTACACTTTTTGGAAACTTTGCTGCTTCCTGTTTTGTTTTAACAACTGCTTTGCTGTGTCTCAACAGCTTTAAGTGCTACTGCATTGAAAAGATAAAATATAGAAAAACTGTGCAAGGTAACAGTTAAGTAGAAGGAATTTCTTTGCCACTACAGAATGTTCTTTTATCTCTGTAGTTTTTCAAAATGTGAAAGGCCCTTGTGTGCTCAAGATGTCTGAAGAATACAAGCCTCTGGTGTAGTCTAAATCCACAGCGTAGACAGCTGGACCTAAAGCAACAGAAGTCCATTACAGATATAGCACACATCCATTATTTTTATTTTCACTAGGAGTTGCAAAGTTTACCAGTCAATTTGATCCTGACTTTTAACTGTGCATTTATATTACACCAAGAATTCTCTCATCTCTTTAAACAGAAAATTCATATTATTTATGCATATAAACGTTAGAAAGCATGTTTCACACTGTAGCATAGAGGCCGTAGAGGAAGGCTACGAGGCTTCCATGTACTGTGGAAGCATGAGGTCAATCCTAAACCTAACCCCATGGACAATGAATAAGTTAGTATATCTTGAGCAGGTGTATTTAAAAATTTCCTTCTCTTGTTAAAATAGTATATAAACAGAATGCAGATTGGACTGTTAACGGAATAGGAGAAAGTCAGACATACCTTGAAACTGTGCAGGTCTAGAGAAGAGTTTGGCAAACCTGTGGCTCTTGCACATGCACTTTGCATGAACTCCAGTCAATGACCTGTTGTTTTTAACTGTTCAACATCTCTTAGAAGTGACATGCTGAAAATTCACCACTGAAGAAAGACCTACCGAAGTTGCAGTTGCAGAGGGCAACAAAAGCATCTAATTCTCACCTGCATACCTCCCTTCCTCCAAGGAAAGAGTTACTGCTTATTAATATGCCACCAGTTCTGTTCCTAGTATAAAAAAATAAATTAATACCTGCTGTATAAGTGAGTTATTAGTGCCTTTAAATTCCATGACTGTGCCTCACCTGCTTTGGTAGAATAGGGTCATAGGTGAAATTAGAAGACAAGGAAACATAAGAGCAAAATGAATGTGGTACATATAGGGGAATGTCCCTTGGCTTATCAAATATTTGTATATTTTTCCAGCTTTCACAGACATAATTGCCATAGCAGTCAATTTACCATTTAAAATGTTAGCTCATAGAATCATCAGGGTTAGAAAAGACCTTCAAGGTCATCTAGTCCAACTGTTGATCTAGTATAATTGCCCCAAACCATATCCCCAAGTGCCACATCAAGACACATCTTGAACATTTCCAGAGGTGGCGACTCCACCACCTCCCTAAGCAACTTACTTCCATGCCTAACCACTCATTCAATGAAACATTTTTTTTCTAATGATACTAATAATAGATATTGTAATACTACTAAGAAGTACTACTACTACTTCTAAAAATAATAGATAATAGCATCAGAACAAATAGTACATTTTAGAAGGAATTCAGAAACACTTTGAGTTAATTAATTTTCATGAGAGGCTTATATCTATCAAAATACTATCAAATTTCTACCATCCCCTCATGTTTCTTTATGTTAGAAGAACATTATTTCCATTGTTTCACTTTGAGGTGGGAAGAAAACTAATAAATTCCACAAATTTGGTGGCTTGAGTTTTTTTTTAAATTGCAACTTTAGGCTTTGAAAATAAACATCAGACTCTAACAGCAGACCTGAAACTTTCACAAGCACATTCTACTGAATCTTGCAGCTTTATGTTCCCTACACAAATAACCCACCTCTAATTTTCTAAAGTTTCAGCTCTTTACTTATGATTCCCTGAAAGGTTACCATGTTTTTCAGAGGAATTGACTGAATTCAGTTAATTTTGTCTTTAAACTCAAATGTGAAATCATATATTCAAGATCAGGGTTTACCACTGAAGCAAATATTTTCCAGTGATAATGTTTTATTTTTCTTTTAGATAAAAAAGTAAACTTATGATCAAAGCTTATCTTTTTTAGCTTAACTTGTCTTTCAAGAGATGTATTTTGTCCTAAACTTCAGCAGTTTCTGACCAAAGTGCTAAGACCATATAAAGAAAAAAAACTTCTAGGAGTATTCTCAGTTATTAAAAATATTATGCAGTCATATTAAGTGCCTCTTTGTCATGCTCTGTCAACCTTAAATAACTTAAAACTTGAAAATGGAAAGTCCCCACCTTTTTGAAGTTACATAAATAACTTCTAATATCTATCCCTGGCAAACTATATAGTCTTCAGCTCTTCCACCTACCCCTGTAGTGATGATGCCAGGAAGAAATAATCATCCAGAATCCTCCCTTTGCCTTTGTAGGATGATTCTGGTTCTGCCCACTGTAAAAGCAGACTGAACTTGTGGACAGTGTGGCTTCAGCCTCCATGCATGTGAACTGCAATGGTAGAATGGAGTTTATTGGGGTCTGAATGGGTCTGAAATTGCCTGGAGTTCAGAAGTCTGTTAGGTACAATGTAGTTGCAATCAATAGGACAGTTCTGTACTTCTACTGATATATCTATTTAAGGCTCAAAGTCACAAGAAAACCCATGTGCTTAGAATGGAAGATAGGTGTTTATATCTGCATTTACAGTTCTCAAAACACCTGCAATGTAACACCTTAGCTCCAACATAATACCAGAGGTGACAAAAAAATTATTTTTTTTTTCAGTTAAGTGTTTTTAGCTACCTAAAATTCTGCTCCAAAGAAAAACAGCACTGTGACTTCCAATAAATCTTTTCTGTGAACTGAGAGACACTATCAAACCAACCTTCCTCTGCCTCTGTCGCTTCAAAAGCTCAATCCAAAAACGTCTCCAAGTGCATTTACTTGATCAGGATTTATAAAATTTTCTATACTAGCTGTTACTTTCCTTTTTAGAAAATGAAAAGGTATAATATAGAAATTTCTGGCTGACTCTTCAAGAGGCTAGAGGATGCAGGAAACTGAGTTAAATTTTTATCTTCTGTGTATGAGGATTCAAACCTATCTTATGGAAGAACACCATGAAATGTGAGCTATTTGGGGATGATGGAAGTGCACTTGAAGCTTCTCCATTCTGCAAATAATTTAAAAAGGAACTGGATGAGTTGAGTTACTGCACCCAAGTCTAGGTAGCCCCTTTATGTGTAAGAGACCCATTTTGAGATACCTGTAAGTCCCATTTTGAGATACCTGACCCTCTACTTGTATCATATGGAAGGCCTCTGCTCCTAAAATAGCCCCATCATATCAGCCAGATACCTTAAATCCCTTTGGAAACCCCAGTACAGTTGCATTAGATGTTTTAGAAAACTGAACTCAGTGGAGAGAGGATTTCATCCTGTGTGTCTTTTTAGGGTTCCAGTTCATCAGCCCAAGTGGGGCAAATGTATTCAGGTCCTTTAAGAACTGATAATTGTATTTATTTACAGAGACTTCAGTAACACAGAGACATTATGTAGTGAACAGAAATACTACTGTGAAACTTGCTGCAGTAAACAAGAGGCACAGAAGAGGTAAGCAAAAAGCTGGCTGTTTCACCATACCCCTCCTGGGTTCTGACAAACCTTCTCCTCGATATTTATTTTATTTAGATACCTAGAAGCCTTACATCCCAACTGTATTCTCTGTGTGGGCCAGAGAACCTGCAGACAGACTTAAAGGCATGTGTCTTAGTCTAGAAGCTACTGCTAGTTGACTATTGTTACTTACAGAGTGGTTTTATAACGCATTTGCTTATTAAGAACTTATTAAGGAAAGAGAGAATGGCTTTGAACTGGTCAGGTGTTTATCATATGCACTTCAATGTTTTCACAGGATGAGAGTAAAAAAACTGCCAATGATTCTTGCCTTACACCTCAAGAGATTCAAGTATATGGAGCAATTGCACAGGTATACTAAGCTGTCTTATCGTGTAGTATTTCCTCTGGAGTTACGTCTCTTCAACACATCTGGCGATGCTGTCAACTTAGATCGGATGTACGACTTGGTAGCTGTTGTTGTTCACTGTGGAAGGTAATAGACTTTCATGTTTATCACAAACTATTGCCAGACATTTGCCAAGGGCAGAGGCAAGCCTGACAAAATGTGGAGGGAGGGGAGACCTTAAACCTAGCGGCTGCGCTGACTTGCATGTGTCTCGGGCTGAAACTTTCAGCCACCCTCCCTCATAGTAAATCTGTACTTGTTTAAGAAATAATGTCTCAGGTCTCCACAAGTCACAAGTTTGGCTTAAATTAACAAAACTACCTCCTTCCTCATGAGCGCACTTAGATAACTTGTGAGCCAGGACTCTGTGAGGGCCAGAATCTGCTAGCACGTAGACCCCACAACAGATTACCTTGATCTCCTGTCAAGGCAATGAAAATGATAGCTTTAATAAAGCCTCTCACATATGGGGTATTGTCAAATATGAAACAAACAGAAGAATCCTTGGGGCTCTAGGAATATGACCTTCTTTCTCTTCTCAAAGATTACATATAACTCAAGATTCACGGTTGACACCAAACAATTTTCCTACTTATATTTGGTTCATAATTTTTTAAAAATATTTTCAATAGTTGATGCCTGCCATGAGCAACTTGTTAAGTGTTCTACAGATTATTTTGCAAATGGTCCTGGCACAGATGAAAACAAGACCCTTAGCTTTCAGCTGATGAAATTGCAACAAGCCAATAAAAAGTTGTAGAGATGAAGTGTCTACTGTACCACAAGGGGTGGGTTTACTATGTTTTTCATAACAGTTATAATTCTCCTTGCATAAAGAAATGTGACTTATCCAAATGGACTCAATAGTATTTTCTAATATCTTGTGGTTTGGGTTCTTGTTTTGCTTTCTAGTGGACCGAATCGGGGACATTATATTACTATTGTGAAAAGTCATGGATTTTGGCTCTTGTTTGATGATGACATTGTAGAGGTCAGTATGCTGAAGGTCATGAGCACAACTTTTGTACTTATGTTTTCTTCTCTATTTGGGGTTAAAATTCTAATCCAGATCTGGGTAGAGATTACTAGTCTGCAAACCCACAATTTGATTGTATAATGTGATATTTTGCTCAACTCTGTTAGGAAACAAGATTGCAAACAAAATTATTAATCCTGTAGTTTGTGCTCTGTCAATGTCGGAGGGGGTCATTTTGTTTCAGAGCAACATCAAATGCTTCTAATATCAAACTTCAAGGGTTTAATTTGGAATGTTTTCTACATCTAATAAAATCAATTTAATTCATTAAAAAACCCTATCACTTAGCAAAATTGGACTAAGTAAAGCTAGCATTGCTGTAGAATTTTAAATTTTGAATAATTGGGAGTTTATAAGAAAGTCTGAGCTCTGTAGTTGATCTAGGATTGCCTGAATGTAAATTAGAGCAGTATCTGTCCCACAGCTTTATAGATTTAGTCTAAGCATTCCGCATTTCAGTCTTCTTCAAACCCTTCATGTCGTTGTGGCACCTTGGCAAAACCAGGGTCTTTAGTCTGATTTCCCAGGAGGTAAGGAAAGTAAGCACTGGGATATTGGATGGGGCATATCTTGAGGAGGTTTTCTTTATGTTTCAGAAAGATGGGATCACATGGTCACATTTACGTGTTTTAACAGTGTTCGCTATGGCATTCCAAGGAGTCTCTCTGCTATTGGAAAAAGCCTAATTCAGTTAGGTGCAGTGAGACAAACAAGCCCATGGACTTCCATGAGTGATATCGGCAGGGCTCAGACTCTGAACATTAACTTTTCACTACTTAAATTGCAAACAGAATTTGCTAATTGCTACCCCAAAACAAATAACTGAATTTGTGTTTTCTGTTCATACAGTCATTTAATCTGTGTTTGGTATTTCTTCTATCTAATAGCATATAAAAAAAGTTATTTATTTTGCAGAAAATAGATGCTCAAGCTATTGAAGAATTCTATGGTCTGACATCTGATATATCAAAAAATTCGGAGTCTGGCTATATTTTATTCTATCAGTCAAGAGAGTGACTTGGCAAACTGTGATAATTGGGCACAATGATGCTGCACACAAAAGAAGATGATGGCTCCCCTGAACTGACTTTTACACAGACCACATCTGGAATGGTTGAACAATGATACACTCTGTCTCCTACTAAATGGTCTATGTGATATTGACTATAACCATCCATTTTTGACATGCAGAACTTTGTTTAAAGGGGGGGGCTGTTTGTAGTTTTTAAGTCTGATTGAAGAGCTAATTGCAGTCAGATTTTAGTGGAATTTATATGGACTAACATTTACAGATAATAAGATTTGGATGTCAACTGTTAAACCCAATCCAGCTAGAGTAGTATTTTATATGGAAGTGTTCATTACATTTAGAGCAAAATTATTTAAAACTTTCTAAATGGTTTTGGGGTGTGTTGATTTACAAAACATTCCTTGAAATACTTCCTGACATATACTTATCCATTTTAAGTGTAAGGAAAAATATCTATTTCACGATGATTGGAGTTGTAATTGTAAGGGGATTTTTTTTACATGTTACTCTGCTGCAGAAAAGCTATTCTTCCAAAATCATTTAAACTTTGGATTGTTTAAACTTTCAGTGTGTAACCTCAGGCCTAAAATTCACATAGAGGGATTTAAATTACACTGGAACTAAGTAATTCTCTATGTTCAGTCACTTTGTTTATTGTGAGATAGTACAGATGAGGTGACATTCAGAACTTACAGAGTATTGGAATAAAGGGAGTGAGATGACATACATGATACAGAGATAAATTACATTTATAGAGATTGAGCTTACCTTTTTTGTTAAAATTATAGCATAGATTGTTTACTTAATTGAGTTTGCAAAGATTGCAACACGCTCACGCTATAAAATATCCATCAGGATTGAAATCACACAGTCCATTTAAATAAGCACTTGTTTGTACATAAGACACAGCTTTATCCTGCAATTTTCTGAACATCTGTAGGTCCCATTTTCATATCTCAAGACAGAGTCCATTTCTTAGAAATATAATACATAACAACTGCTAGTTTACATACTATCATGTATATATCATCTCTAACATTTTGGTCATGTTTGACAACATTTTATCACCACAGAAACAGATAGGGCTCTGGCATGTTGATTTCAAAAACATCAGAAAGCTTAGTACAAAAGGCTTGGTTTGTGATTTTACTGGGTGAATTTGGCTGGCACTAGTCATGCACTGGCTAATAAAATTTTGGAACTCGTATACTGGAATTTGGCAAAGAATGAATGTAGAAGAAAGTATCAGTAGGGTATGAGAAGGGATCAGTAATGGCTTTAGTCAGTGGTAACACTGGGTAACTACCTTGCTCACTCTGGCACTTTCATTCCATTATACAATTCTTGAACTTCAGTAGCCAAAGTCCTATTCCAATGATGTCAACAGCAAAAACACTCTTCTTGTCTTCATGGGGAATGACAGTTGGTTCTAATATTTATAGGAAAATATTCTCATCTCACAAAACTTATTTCTACCTGTTATATTTCATTCAGTCATTATGTATTTATTAGACAATTTTGCTTTTGGTCCTTTTCTTTAAGAAGCCTGCCTGCCACTTTATGGCTGACACTCCATTTCAAGAAATGGCTTTTAAAGTGCAGCTACATCTCATATTTTAGTGTTCTGCAGGAAAGAGAATAACTTTTTTCATTGTACTCTACTGTGAATGTGAAATATCTTTTGTTAAATAATGGTGAAAATGAAGTAATAGTTTCTACAGTAACATCATTGGAAGTTCAGTTGGATTTACCAATGGACATTTTGTAAACTAAGGCAACGTAGCACTTTACACAGTGAGAAACAGAAGCGGACTTTTCAGCTAACATTATTTGTGATTTATCATGTTATTTTATTGATGTAAGAAAACAGACATAGAACGTAACCTTGGAGTACTTTGGTGAATAATAGTAGTGGTCTACAGAGATCACTCACATGAATGAAGGCTTGCATGCAGGCTCAAGACAAGCATAGTTGGGATGCAGCTCTTGTTCTTTTATTGATGTTAGAATGAAATGTTCTGTCTCTAACACAGAAGACAGACCTCTTACAGGAGACTTCAACTGAGGGCCAGGAGCTTTTCCTCTGAAAAGCTAAACCTGCAAGTCCCTCTTTCATGGATTTATTTATAAGCATTTAGAATTTCCATATAAAAATATAATTATCACTTGCCTCTTAAAATGGGTAAGGTTTCCTCACTGTAAATGAAGTCACTTTCTAGATCAGCACCAACCAGTGCTGGTCCAAAGATCTGTACTTCGCAGTTTACTGCTGAACTTTCTTAAGGCATTCTTTAGTTTTAAAACAAGCAACAAAACAGATATTCTTAGGGTATCATTTGAATCTTCAGGGCTCATGTTTATATGAAAAGTAATTTTTCTTAAAAATCATTTTTAAAGCGGTTCAATTTTAGGAAACATTTTCCGTATTTCAATTGACTTAAGTGAAAATTGATTTTTTAAATGTTAATAGTATGGATTAATATTTAAATGCTAAAGTACAGAATAATAATCTTTGAGTTTCTTCAGCTGCAAGACAGCTTTAGACTGTAAAACATACAGATCGTTGCAGTACATTATTGAGAGTAAAATTACTAGAATAAGCATTTTAAATTCCTGCTAGCTCTTGAGAAGATCGCAGCAATGCTATCACATCAGTCTGACATTAGCTCTGAAAAATTATGGAATACATGCTCTATGCTAACACGAGCTAAACAAAGGAGCATTTTATTTGGATTTTTAAAAAATTGCAGTCACAATTCTCTAAATTGGTTCCAATCTACAGTGTGCTGAATGTTTTGACTTCAGTCCAGCAAAAGCTGTCCATCACAGCTGTATGAATAGTGCCAGTCTAGGCAGAGGAACACTTCTCTGTCAAATTAAGTACATTCACACAAGTTTTGCAGGATTGGGATCCCCACAGGAATAATCATATGATGTAAAGTACTTTAGTTGATTAAATAATTTATAACCTTTTTTCTCTTATGATTATGCATAGATTTCCAGTCCCTTATGAAGGAATGGAAAAATACCTAAGACAATAAAAGCTTTTCAGCTAGCAGCTAGCAGCCAGGAAACAAAATGCTAGCACAGATGTCTAATAGTATTCTGTGCTTCCCTAAAATTACTTTATTTTATGGTGTCAAAGTATTTTAGGCCTAACAACAATTGAAGTTTTCCACTTGTTTCACATGCTGTTGCTAAGATGCATTGTCCATTTATAAATCTTATTAGTATGTTCTTACTTAGGAAAAAGAACATTTTTGTCTTGTGCAATTTTTCCACTGAACCCAGTGAACCACTGCGGTGCTGATCAGTTATCTTAGAGGATGAGCTCAGAACTCAACTTTTATGTTTCCCAGAACACGCTGCCAGGATTTTATGTAATTTCTGCTTTGGGGACAAAGCAGAAGGAGGCAGAAGAAGGGAGTGATGGAAAAGATATACCAATGAAACAGAACACCTTTTTGAAATTAAGTCCCAGAATTACTCCTCTTAATTTATTGTAATAATTTACTTATCTGCGAGTACTAGATTATGTATTGAAAGTCTTGTCCCTCTAGCAGTTGGAGAAGAGAAAATAAAGCAGTAGGAGTTTCCTTCATATCAGATTTAATAAAGCTATTAAAGACCTAACAAAATGAAACTGAAATTCACATAACATGATGGGTCCTAAACTGCTACCACAAGTTGTCTTTTATCTTCAGACATTACATTTCATTCACTCATCTATTACAGCATCATGTACTTGGCATCTGAGCTGACGACTTGCTGCTGACAGGTTTGAAAAGTTTGATGCCTCTCAGCAGCAGATCCCTTCTTGTTTTGTCTCTTTTTTGCTGCATGTGGCTGACAGGTCTGAGCAGCGTCTTACAGCTGAATGAATATTAGAAATTTTAACAAGTTTTGGCTGTGTACCTATTCTTTGCTAGTACCTTTTACCAGTGTTTGTTTTAATTTATTTTTCTTTTTTTTTGGTCTGTTATTGTATTTGTATAATAACTTCTGTGGTTAATATAATCTGTTTTGTTTAAATTTTTATGTACTTTAGTTTTTTAAAATATAATCAACCGAAGCACTTTAAGCAACAATGTCAATCTTGTGAAATTCCAATCAGCTTAATATTTTGCCTTTGTGTTATTGTTTTCGCAGCTGTTTGTTTGTGATCCAATGTCTCTAGTTACAACCCAGTTACCATTTTTAGGCTTGTAGTGTGAGTTGCATTGTAAATTTGAGAAGCCTAAGTATTTTCATACATACTTATTCATACTTAACAAGGACGCAGTATTTACTATGTGTGTGCTACACAGAGCAGTATGTACCTGATGAGCTGCACTCACAGTGCACTTTTTACAGCCTTTTTTGCATTCTGCCTGCTAACCCATCTGATAATGACTGTGGTACTTTAATCTGTGATGCAGTTATCAATGACTAGAATTTAGAAAAGCTCAAATTCTCGCAGGAGAATTGTCATTTACCAAACACAGAGTTAGCTGTCGGTCCACTGATGATACAGGTATTGCTCTCTTTGCCATTTTGTCAGTGGCCTGTACAATCTCAAGTAAGAATAATCTTAAAGGCCACATTTATTCCTGGCCCTTGTGTGAGTTCTGACAAGGAGAGCAATCTTTCTGCATCTTTCTTCTCTCCACTTGGGCCCATATAAAGCAAAGAGATAAGGAAGTAAGATAAGTGCTCATTATGGTAAAATAATGTTTTTTAGAGGAAAACTTCTGTAGTGTCCATATGAGAAAGTCACTGATTTTCTGTATTGTTAATACAAGGGTAATTCCTAGTGCTTTAGGTGTTGTATTCTCTTTGTTCAATGAAAAGACCAGGGCTTTTTGCTGTTGCATCAGTTCTGATACTGAGGTGTTTCTTCTCAATTTACAATGGCACTTACTATGTAAATAGTCTTTGGCAAGCCTCAACAGACACCCTTTTAATTTCTTTTCAGTTAACACACATTACTTCAAAGAGATTGCTTGAACCTTTCTATAAGATTTATTTCAATAACACACTCCTTTTGCATACAGAGTCAAATAACACCTATCAGCCAGTATGTGCCCACCTGGCGGGACCATCTGGGCTAAACCCACACCATTTTACATACTAATGATTCTTTACTCCCCCTTGGAGGTTTGCTTGCTGGCTTTGCCTGAATGATTTAATATGAAACTGCAAATAACTCCCTTTATTCATGATCTCAGAGTTGCTATAGTTCTTTAATAAATTCTGCTTCATTTGATTATCAAGACTGGGACTATTGTACAATGTAAAAATAAATTAACTTGCGTGTGCCATTCACAGCAGTCAATTTAACAGCCTAATGCTTCTGATGAAGGCTGTTGCAGATTGCAACTTTACTGTATGTATGAATATGAAAGAGTAAGTGACTTTTCTGTCGTAGCACAGTAGGTCTGTAGGAGAAGCTAGACTAGCATGCAGCTTCCTAATTCTCAGCTTGTAGGCAGCTGAAGTTGGTGCTCCATTCTCTAGATAATCCTAACCTTTCTCCCAGGGGTTTGAAGGCGGCAGGAGCAAAACCATTGTGAAGACACCTTGCAGTTCTCCAGAACATCTTGCCTGCTGCAGTGGATAATTAATGAATATTTGCAACCCTGCTGTTCCCACTCCCCAAAACCTCTTTAACAGATATACATTCCTTAAAGAGTCTGAGCTTAAACATCAGCTTTGTATTTGCAATCATGTTCATGTTGGCAAATGTCCCAAGACAGATTGTGTTCATGTGCTTGTTTCCTGGTCCTCTCTCAGTTATCATTCTAACAGCAAGAGCAATATCAGGGTAGCCATGTTCCAGGTTCCAGTGAATTTCCTGGACACAATTTTCTAGCTTCAGTGGCTTTTGTTAAAGAAGACTTAACATTAGCTCCATAACTTATCATGATGCTTTAGGAGTAAAGTCACCACATACTATATGAAGAGGAAGAAATATGGAAAGGGCTGTTTTGTCAGAGGCTTTGAATGTGTGTATCTGTTTGTAAATGTATAGTCCCTCTCTATCTTGTCAAAATGATGCAGTCATAATAAAACTGCTTAAATATTTTGTGCTAGTTTTTAAAATGAAATAAGATAGTAAAATTACTAGGCATACAATTGGGGACATATAAAAATACTGAATTTCTAGTAAAGCATACAATACACAGTGTATGTGTACAGTTGAATATCTGCTCTTTTTAATCATGATGTACATGTAATTAAACCCTGCGCTACCTGCAGAACTGTGAGAAAAAACTCATGTTGGTTATTAAGGTTGTAACATAAGAAAACAGTATTTTCTCCTGTTAATATGTTTATATTTTACAAAAAATAAAACTCCCTAGCTGAACTTGCTTCCATTCAACTTGCTTTGACTTCAGCTGGAGCCAGACTAAGGCTGAGCATTGATGTTGGTTGTTACAGAACATGCTTCTGAATGTCAGGTACCTGTATTCTTACAGATGACAAGACTGCTGATGCTTGCTTTTTATTTCATTTAATGGAGTCACTGCATTTTAAGTGACTTCAGAGAATGTTTCACCACCTGGGCTGACTGCTTCTGAAGTGTCTTAAGAGAACAAATTTTGCATGCAGATGGTGAGTTGTCTTGGTGGAATATACATACAACTGCGTGACTGAGCTATACCTAGTTAAAGCACACCACTGACCTCGTCAATGTTTTTGAGAACAGCTGAAAGTGAACAGAATAAAAATCAGTCAGAATTGAACTACCTTTTGCATCAGAAAACAATGAACTCTTTAGCCTGGGATTTTACATATGACTACTAGAGTGGGAGAGAGTCTCACCGCTGCGACCCGGGTTCGATTCCCGGCCCCCCGGGCAGATGGAGCTCGTCAGCCCTGTGAGGCAATCCATCTAAGAGAAGGTCACTCTAAACAAACCTACGTCCTG